TCCCAGAAATAACTGCTATTTAGCATTTTTGTGTATTTCCTTCCAGGCTTTTTTCTCTTGTGATTTTGCACACAAATGGCTTTACAAAACTGGGATCATGCTGTTCCTCTCACTTATATTTTCTTAGGAGTATCTTCCCATATCAATAAATCTAAGAAAAATAGAAGGAGATTGGACTTGCCCACTCGGTGCAGAAGATGGAACCAAGAGAGATGTTGAAAACATGCAGACTGCAAGGTTAAAGGTAGGGTACAGAGATGAGCATTGTCCTGGCACAACTTTAAGCTCAGGCATTGGAGCAGAGAGTAGAAGCTAAGGCAGGAAGAGGGTTAACGGTATTTGGTCTGGGGGATGGATCCAGTGGTTACCGTTGAGCGAGGACAGGAGTCCAGGGAAGGGCATGTATGAGAGCTGAGTCAGGAGAACTCATAGACCCCAGGACCTAGGGAAGAGGCTTGGAGTGAAAGATAGAGCCAAAAGAGATTCCTCGAGGTGTTTAAGCACAGTTGCAGAGACTGGCTTTTTGGTAGCCACAGCTTCATCCTGGGGAGAGAAGATAGTACTAATAGTTTGCTTCTGGTTCAGACAATAGAAAAGCACTTCCTTCACACGAGGAGGGTGCTGTTGTCCTTAAGCCGACACTCTTATTTTTTTTTTTCTTTTCCTTTTTCGTTGACATGTAACAATTGTACATATTTATGGGATACAGAGTGATACTTCACTGCATGTATATAATGAATAATGATCAAATCAAGGTAATTAGCAAATCTATCTCTTTTAGCTTTTGGAAAAGATACACTAAATTATTTTATTTATTTATTTATTTATTTATTTATTTATTTATTTAAAGATGGGGTCTTGCTCTGTTGCCCAGTCTGGAGAGCAGTGTCATGCTTATGGCTCACTGCAACCTTGATCTTTTGGGCTCAAGTGACCCTCCTACCTCAGTCACCTGTAGCTGGGACTATAGGTATGCACCACCACACCTAGGCTAATTTTTATATTTTTTGTAGAGATGGGGTCTCATCACGTTGCCTAGGCTGCTCTCGAACTCCTGGGTTCTAGTGTTCCTCCCACTTCAGCCTCCGATGCAGCTGGGACTATAGGTGTGCACCACCACACCCAGCTAATTTTTATATTTTTTGTAGAGATGGGGGTCTTGCCATGTTGCTCTGGCAGATCTTGAACTCCTGGACTCAAGCAATCCTCTGTTCTAGGCCTCCCAAAGTGCTGGGATTACAGGTGTGAACCACCACACCTGGTCACACTAAGTTATTGTTAACCGTATTCACTCTACAGTGCTATAGGACATTAGAACTTATTCATTCCTTCTAGCTGTAACTTCTGACACTTTCTCTTAAAGGTCAAACCCTAGAAATTTTCCTACTGAAATCAGAACTGAGATAGGAATGCCCACCATTGCCTCTATTATTTATTATGGTTCTACAAATCCTAGCACAAGAAGGAATAAAACAGAATTAAGAGTTATAAGCAAGAGAAAAAAATGGAATAAAATTACAATTTCTCCAGGTGATAGAATTAGTCTATTTAAGAAGCTGAAGGTAGGCCAGGTGCAGTGGCTCAGGCCTGTAATCCCAGCTCTTTGGGAGGCCAAGGGAGGTGGATCACCTGAGGTTAGGAGTTCGAGGCAAGCCTGGCCAACATGGTGAAAGCCCATCTCTACTAAAAATACAAAAATTAGCTGGGCATGGTGGTGGGCACCTGTAGTCCTGGTTACTTGGTGGGGTGGAGGGGGTTGGGGAGTGGAGTGAAGCAGGATAGTCGCTTGAACCTGGGAGGCAGAGATTGCAGTGAGTCTAGATTGTACCATTGCACTCCTGCCTGAGTGAGAGAGCCAGACTTCATCTCAAAAAAATAAAGAAAAGACAAAATGAAAAGAAGAAGAAACTGAAGGCAATTAGCTGAAAAAGAAAAAAAAAACAAACACAGTAGAATGAATGAAAGAGCTCAGTGAGGTGGTTTCTTACACAATATTAAACCATACAATAAAGCTGTAATAAGGAAGTCATTGTGATACCGGCATTTTAAAATCACATTTACTAGGCTACTTTTCAATACAGAGAAATAATACAAAGAAAACAAGAAATAGTTCGTTACCTTTATTCAGTTAATCCTTTTTAAATTAAAAGAATAGATGTACATAGTTAGAGAATTAAAACAGTATGGACAGGATTAAAAGTGCCCAAAATTCTCTCACCTGTTAACTTAGCAGAATAATTTTTGTTAACTGTACGTGGAGTGAAATTATGTCTATGCGAGATCTGGAGGTTAATTAGAAGTTAATCAGAGAAAGGGAGGATATTTCTCAAAGCATAAGGTATAGCATGTGTGATGATGAGAGAATGAACAAGAGAAAAACTCATTTGGGAACTCAAAGTAGCTCAAGGTGTTTAGAAGATTAATGGTCAGAGGACAGATCCAGTGGGTACAGGTGAGAGGAGAGGGAGTGGTGGGAACCAGGAAAGGTAAGTGTGAGAACTGGGTTGTGAAGATTGGTTTTAGGTCCTAGGGATTCCCTAGTGCCCAAGACAGAGAAGGTCTTGATCCTTGGACCTTACATTCTCATTGAAAAGAATATAGACAAGAAAACTGTGCTTTGAAAGATATAAAACATCAGGGCTGGACACAGTGGCTCACACTCATAATCCCAGCACTTTGGGAGGCCAAGGCAGGCTGATCACTTCAGGTCAGGAGTTTGAAACCAGCCTGGCCAACATGGTGAAATTCTCTACTAAAAAACAAAACAAAACAAAACAAAACAGAAAAAAAAACCCCAAAATTAGCTGGGCATGATGGTGCCTGCTTGTAATCCCAGCTACTCGGGTGGCTGAGGCAAGAGAATCACTTGAACTCGGGAGGCAGAGGTTACAGTGAGCTGAGATCTCACCACTGTACCCTTAGACTGGGTGACAGAGTGAGATTCCATCTTAAAAAAAGCAAAAAACAAAAAAACAAACAAAAAAAAAAGCAAGAAAGATATAAAACACGACAACGTGACAGCAACTCTTCACTGGGTGGGGGCAAGTGGAGGGCAACATTGGGTAGGGATGTTGCAGAAGGGACTCTTGAGCTCAGACTTGAAAGAAAAGGAGCCAGTTATATGAAGAGTCTAGGAAAGGGCTTTTCAGGCAAAAGGAAATGGGAACGCAAAGACCCTGAGGTAGGAGTGAACTTGGTGAGTTTGAAGAATGGAAGAGAAGCTAGTAGGAAAAAAGAGGGCCTATTGCAGTGGTTTCACTGGGTCCATCAGCTGCCTTTAGAGCTGTCCCTTCAGCACTGGGATCACTGGGTCCATCTGCTGCCCTTCCAGCTGTCCCTTCAGCACCGGGATCTCTGGAAAATCTAGAAGGTTGAGTTGCACATGGACCAAGGTCAGCCCCAGCTCTCTCTTAGGGTAGGGAGTAACTTTGAGGTCACCAGATTTGGGGTAACTGAAAGAACCGACCTGGTCCTGCTGGCTTCAAAACATGCAGGGATGGTGAGGAAATCTAGAAAGGGGATGTTTGTATTTTTAACTTTTTTTCAATTAAAAAAATATTATTATTATTATTAAAAATGGGCTATCATTACACTGCCCAACTAGGTCTTGAAGTCCTGGTCTCAAGTATCCTCCCGCCTCTGCCTCCCTAAGAGCTGGGATTGCAGATGTAAGTTACCACACCAGGCCTGTACTTGGAAAGTTTGCAGTCCTGAAAGGGAGATCCTAAAGAGGGCGTGGGGTGCCTACACGTGTGTGTATTCCCACACAGTGCAAACCCAGGCAGGGAGCTCAAGGAGCCGCCACTCTCGGGAGGGAATAGACCTACACCCACTTGCTATGCTATGCCAATTTTGGCCAAAGGCCAGACAGAGCTTTCTGTGGTTTTAGTGGTTTTGACTTCAAGTCAAGAAATACTGGAGCCAGAGCAGAGAGGTTTGGGGAAGTGAAACTGTCATCCAAGGCTCTATCTTTCCAAGTTTGCAGTCCTGAAAAGGAGATCCTAAAGCGGGGGGCAGGTTTCCCTAGGATGCCCGTCCTTCAGTGGAAGGAGAGGATATCAGCAGAGCCTCTTGAGCTTCCAGAAAAGATGCCTGGGGCAGACTTTGGTGGCTGGGAATCCACTAATCTAGCAGAAAGACACCACTTTAGAGCAGGCTCTGGACAGTCATTATGTGCTCAGAGTGAGGGCTGGCACTCCTCATCAGCCCACCTAGCCCAGTGACAGTGCCCGGAACCTGCTCCAACCCATAAACAGGGCCAATTCTGTAGCCAGAGCTTGACATCCATCTCAGCATGAGTCCAGCCAATGCAATCACATTCCAGGCTCCCAAAAGTCCAGCTTAGAGCTCAAAACAGAGGCCAGCAGGAACCCAGGGTCCAGTGTTGTAGGTCTTCTGCTAGATCCCCTTTGTGAAGTTTTTTGCTTTGCAATATCAAGAAGGAAGGGCAAATACCATATTTGTTTATGCTTCCTGAGTACTTGGGTTAAGTCCTTGACTAAGAATGTTTGGGCTTCTGGTGTTATAGCAAATCTTTATTATCTGAGAATAAGGATGCCTTATTGATTCTCAACATCAGTTCACATTGGAATTACCTTGGGAAGGGAGGCTTGAAAAATGCTGAGGCTGGAGTGCTACTCCCAGGGATTCTTACTGTATCTGGGCATCTGAATTCCTCTCCTCTCCTCTCCCCTTCTTTTGTTATTTAGAGACAGGGTCTTGCTCTGTCACCAGGCTGGAGTGCAGTGGCACAATCATAGCTCACGGCAGCCTCAAACTACTGGGCTCAAGCGATCCTCCTGCCTTAGCCTCCTGAGTAGCTAGGACTACAGGTGCACACCACCATACTTGACTAATTTTTAAATGTTGTTTTGTAGAGATGGGGTCTTGGTATGTTGCACAAGCTGTGGATTTTTCAAAGCACTCTGGGTAATTCTAACTGTGCAGCTAAGGTCAAGCACCACAGCCTTCGGGTGAGTCCACTCACAAACAGTGACTAAAGCCTCTTTCTAGATGAGAATGGCACTGTTGATCATGGTGTCTGAAAATTGTAAGTGTGGCTAAATTGAAACAGGTTTGTGCTTCCATAACAGTATATATATTGCAGTGGTGACAATGAGACCTGAAACATTTTGAAATTTTTTTAAGAAAAGCAAAGAAAAAAAAAACCCAGGGACTCCTACTCCATAGTCAACAATCAAGTCCAAAAACATGGTTTCAACTTTATCTGAAAATAAAATTATAGTTTAGGAAAACATGGTGATTTTTCCTGATCTTCTCTAACTATGAGCTATGGTGGACAAAAAGGTAAGCTTTGATGATTTCAGAGTGGCAGGGGTGGGGCATGCTTAATTTTTCTGATAAAATCACATGATGTCCAGTATGAAATTTTTCCCTTCCCCGACAAGATCATAAAGTTTGACTTTCACAGCAGGATCATAAAATGGGTCATTTTTGCAAGAAATATTTGGATATGTCGTCAGTTTTCCTGAGGGCTCCTGTTAATCCTTTGACATTCAAATCATTGGATGTGTCTATCACATCATCATTCTTGTCAATTTTCTCTTCTTCCATTGTTAGCTTGTGTCCCTCCAGCAGGCTCTTGTCTACCTGTGGTTAACACATCACGTTTTGCCTCCTACTTTCGTTGTATTGTCACATGTTGACAAGAGCTGGCAATCAGAGAGAGACTGCCAGACAAAAACCGTAAATTGCAGAGTGTCAAGTGGGTCAGGGGTGGTGGAGTGGAGTGGGGAGGGGGTGCCTGTGTATACAATGATTTTGTAAGGGGTCCAGTCGTGAATGCACATATTCACATTAAGACAGAGTTTAGTTGCATGTCTGTGCAACCTTGCACATAAAGGGATTTAGATAATGAATTCATAGTAACGAGGACCCTGAGCTAAACTTGGCCCCTGATCCAGATGAAGCACTTAGGGTATACCAATTGCAAATTACTGCTTCTAATAAGAGAACCATGAGTCAGTGTTTGAGAAATAAACATTTTCTTCTGGTGTACAGAACTGTGGTTGGTGCACATCCTGATTTAGTCTTTATTCTTTTTTTAGACAGGGTCTTGCTCTGTTGCCCAGGCTGAAGTGCAATGGCACAATCATGGCTCACTGCAGCTCCAATCTCCCAGGCTTAGCAGGTGATCCTCCCACCTCAGCCCACTAAGTAGCTGGGACTGCAGGTGCATGCTACTACCCCTGGCTAATCTTCTTTATTTTATTTTTGTAGAGATGGGGGCTCACTCTGTTGTCCAGGCTGGTCTCAAACTCCTGGTCTCAACTGATCTACTGCCTCAGCCTCCCAAAGTGCTGCGACTACAGGCATGAGCCACTGTCCCCGGTCCCTGATTCATTCTTTTGTTGAACAGATATCTGGAGAGGCACCTACTTTGCTTGCATTAAGCACCGTTTCCAGCACTTGAAATTTATCAGTGAACAAAACAGACTAGGCTGTTACATTCTAGTGGAGAGAGATCTAGAGTAAACAAAGAAATACATGAAACAAACACATCAGTAAAAAGGAAAAGATAATTTCAGTGCTAAGTCTCATGAAAATAAACCCTGGAGAGAATGTGATTGGGGTAGGGGAGGACAGTCATGAGGTTGGGTGGACAGAAGGGGCCTATCTGAGCAGGTAGCCTGAGTGAAAAGAGGAAACCACCCGTGGGAAGATTTGAGGGAAGAGCGTCCAGGCAGAGGAAATTTCAAGTGCCAAGGCCTTGAGGAAGGATAACACTTAATGTGTTTCTAAAACCAAGACAAGCTCAGGGCAACTGGAGCAGAGTGAGTGAGGGGGAAAGTGGGATGAGATCAGGTCCGTGAAAGAGCAGGCACAGATCACCGAGCATCTTACAGGCCAGGGTCCAGAACTGAAAAGGAGCGTGCATGGTCCGGGCTTTGGAGGGTTTTCAGCGCATGAGAAAAAAAATCTGATTTATAGTGTAAAAAATCTGTTTTCATGCGAGAGGAACTTGTGGAGGAGCAGGAATGAACGTGCATCTTAGAGGAATCATTGTAAGTGACCTTGGGCCTTCTGGAGAAGCCACTGGTGATGGGGGTGGAACAGTAATCAAGCCAGAGTCCACAAGGGGTATGCCTTGTCGAGAGAGGGTCCTGCCTTAAAACCAACTATGGGAAATTTAATGAGGAACAGCTGTCTGTGCTGTGTCTTTCTCTGCACATGATGAATAGGCTGGCTTCATTTCTAAAGAGCCCAGACTTGAGTTCTTTGCTTGATCGGCCCATTGGATAGGTTTGGGAGGTTTAGGGTGAAATGTTTTCCTTGGTCCTTCATTATTTGGTCATTGAGGGGTTTGATTCTGGTTAGACTTGGAGCGCAGAGCCGAGAGCCCAGCACATCCTGTCCTAGACCACAACGTATGTTCACCCACACAGCACCTTGAAACTTTGTAGGTGCTGCTGTAGGAGTCACCAATTAGGTAGAATTGTCATGTGTTTGGGGTACCAGCAAAGCAGGGGTACAGGGAGAGAGAGAGAGAATGACAACTAGAAATTATTTGATATTTGACATTTATAAAAAGCATTGAAATGCTGTGGGAAAAACACCAGATGTATGTTGATCTTCCTTGCTTAATAGCTTAGTATTACCATCACTGGAGATCTATGAGGTTAGGGTGGTCACCTGGATCAGTTCATTGCTTAGAGTGTCTGAAGGTCTTCTTAACCCTGCCTTTGCAAGCATTAAAAAGCAGGCAGAACTCATGTTTCCAGACCACAGCAGCTTCTGGTGCTGTAGCAGAGGTCCTGGGGAGAAGGGCTGAAGAGAGCAAGGGTCATAGCTGTGGCTCCTGAGGCTTAGCTGCTTTTTCAGTGGTGACATCTCTTCTTCAGAGGTGCCTGGAATAATTGGGTCCACCTGCATGAGAATCACCTGGGCTCTTCTAAAAACAAACCAACAGACAAACAAGAGCATTCCTAGGCCTCTACGCAACACCCTGAATTCGAGGATTTGAGAACCTTTTTGAACAGGTTTCTCCAAGATTCGGAGGCATAGCAGTCTGAGAGATGTGCTGTGACCTCAGGAGGTGCTCCAGCCTGTCGCCAAATGGACACACAGTATTGTCATCACATCACAAAGGACTTGCCCTCAGGGAGTATTTGGGACCCTTCCTGGAGGATAGGCAAGATAGGTTTGTGAGTGTGGAGGGTTTGTGGAAAGGGTTATTTCCTCTTAGAAGGTTTGGGATTGATATCTTCTGAGACTTACCTGAGGTCTCCCCATAAGCAAGCATCACAGCCATGGTGAATCCTCAGTCCCTGACTGCAGCTGCAAGTCCAGAGCTGGTCCATACCTTGACCCTTGGTCTCACTTTCATAGATACCAACTTTGACATCATTCCCTAATGCAGCTATGCACACAGTCACTGGGATACTCCAACAGACTTGAGGGATGCTCATTGTTCGGTGTTTAACTTATGTCTCATCACCAGACACACCCTACTAGTTGTTTCTCTCTCTCTCTCTCTCTTTTTTTTTTTTTTTTTTTTTTTTTGGAGACAGAGTCTCCCTCTGTTGCCCAGGCTGGACTGCGGTTTCTCAATCTCTGCTCATTGCAGTCTCCGCCTCCCAGGTTCCAGAGATCCCCACGCCTCAGCCTCCCAAGTAGCTGGAAATACAGGTGCACGCCACTATGCCCAGCTAATTGTTGTTGTTGTTGTTGTTGTTGTTTAGTAGAGACAGGTTTCACCATGTTGGCCAGGCTGATCTCGAACTCCTGACCTCAAGTAATCCATCTGCCTCGGCTTCCCAAAGTGCTAGGATTATAGGCGTGAGCCACCGTACCCAGATGCTACCAGTCATTTTTTAATCCCGTAAGCAGCATGTAAGTAGCACAATGACAATATAATGTGTAGAGGTTCAGAGTTCAAAAGATTATTTTTGACCCTAATTTGACACCTTATTTATTTAAAAAAGATAATACAGGAAGAGTTAAAAAAAAAAAAAAAGTGACATCTCAACTCCTGAGAGACCTGGGCTTAGATTTCTGTCCCCTGCAAACTCCGTAAACATGGGCAGAATCAAATCCACAAAACCAGAGCCTATGTTTAACTGTCTGTATAAAGAGCCACTTTTTGACATTTTGTGAAATGTTAGCATTCTGACTATGCTAAGCTGAGAAAAAGAAGAGAGCCTCCTGGATCTGTCTCCAGCTACCCTGGACTGCTCATTTCAACCTTCACTGGTCAGCTCTGGCCAGCGCTAACAGATTTGCTCTCAAGCAAATCCTTCCTGGGTCCTGACATTTATCCGGGGCGTCTTTTACTCTCTTCTATTCATTAAGCATGGGCGGTTACCACGGCAACCATTAACTGCACCTGACATCCGGGAATAGTTCTGGCGTTTTGAGCAAACACCATACTGGGATTTAGTTTTACAAGGTAAAGACCTGGACACCTCCCTCCAACTTGCGTGGACATCCTGGTGGTCCCCCCATCCCTGCTCGAATCTGAGCTGCCCCCCAGGCCTCTTGGCTGGAGAAGGGAAAGAGGGTGGAGTCTCCTCTCCTGTTGCAGACCCCCGTTCTCCCTGCCCACTCAGCCCCCAGGATCTTTGCTAGTTGCCATATGATGGGGATGTGGCGGGGGCTGTCTCTGAGTGGGGTGAGCCTACATAAGGGTGTGTGTGTGTGTGTGTGTGTGTGTGTGTGTGTGATAAGGCTGGGGGCATCCCAGGTTATCAGAGGTGGACGCAGATGCATTTTGGAAGAGCAAGGAATGTAAATGGGCACATGATGCCTGCGTGTGGATGTGACTGTGTGAGTGCACTGGTGAGTACATGTGTTACAGCTGCCAGGCCTTTGCAGCTGATGCTCTTTCTGCCTGGACCACTCTCTCCCAGCCCTTCATGGAGCCCCCAGGCTCCTGCCTCACTTGAACATCTCCAGTCACTTTCTTTGCTGAGCTTATGATGATCCACGAGTGTCCTAAATACCTTGTTCGTATTTATTACCTAGTTTATTTTCTGACTTCTTCTTCCCTAGAATATAAGCACCACTGAATCTCAAATATCTTTCACCCAACCTGGTACATAGTAGGTGCTTTATAAGTGTGCCCTGAACATCTGCCTATCCTTCATATATGTCTGCAGGGATCTTGGGCAACT